AAACACTGAAGATGAAGCTGGCAAGGTTAACAGCTACGCTGATACCATGGCTACACTCCTTGCTCTTCTGTCGCACCCAGAGGAGCTCTACGGTCCGTCCAATGAATCAGGTACTGCGACCGCAGCAAAGTCCATTATCATTGTCCTGGACGAGTTTGATTTGTTCGTCACACACCCTCGTCAAACACTGCTGTACAACTTGTTTGATATCGCGCAGGCGCGCAAGGCCCCAATTGCAGTGATCGGACTCACCACCAAGGTGGATGTGACGGAGATGTTGGAGAAGCGAGTCAAAAGTCGCTTCAGCCACCGCTACGTCTACGTTCCACTGCCACGATCCCTAGAAACCTTTTCTGACATCTGCTTCGCCGGACTCAACCTGGAAGACGAGGAAGTCTCGGAACTGCTAGAATTGGCTGATGCCGAAGAGCAAGCCATCCTCCAATCTGACAGCTGGAGTCGCTTACTGGAAGGATGGAGAGCTTATCTGCAGGTAAGTGCGCCTCATTGCACGACAAATAACCACACAGACCACGTTTTGCTGACCCTAGTGGGCAATTTCAGGGCCTATGGATCGACGAGGCGTTCGCATCCCACCTACGAAGGATATACCATCAAACTAAATCCGTGAAGGAATTCTTCACGAGTGCTCTGATTGGACTGAGCGATCTCTACCACAGCACCCACTCTCTCACTACTACTCCCGAAGGAACATCTTCCCTGGAGATCCCCACCGCTACCACCTTCACCAGTCACCTTCTATCCTGCCCGGACCCTGCCCCTCTCCCATTCTCCGCGTCGACCACCGCCTCCGCAAGTCCCTCATCTCTCCCGCTCTCGCTCCTCCTCGCAGCGACCCGCCTAGCAGCTCTATACGAACCAGGCTTCGAGACCACGCAGCTTCAGAGCGCTGCGCCACTGGCACTCTCCTTCCCCGCAGCGTACGCAGAGTACGTGCGACTGCTGACGACGGCCAAGACATCAGCCTCAGTGTCCGGAGCCGCGGTCACTCCGGGACGGGTCTGGGGTCGGGACGTGGCGCGCGAGGCATGGGAGAAGCTCGTCAGCTGGGGGCTGATCAGTCCCGTCGGCGGGGGCAGTGGCACAGCAGACGGACGGATGTTCCGGGTGGAAATCAGCTTCGACGAAGTAGTCGAGATGGCCGGTACGGGAGGATCATTAGGACGGTGGTGGCGGGATGGCTGAGCCAGGAAAAAAAGAAGAATGTTGCCTGCACGGTGCAGGGAATTGCCCGTGTGAGGTGAGGGGTGGAACTCAGCCTTGCTTGCTTTTGTGTTCAACAACGGGAATATGTGGGTGTCTAGACTAAACTTACTTGGTACTATGTTGCATTGCATGATGAGGAATCTTACACACACACACGTTGCATGTTGCACATTCCGTTACTCCACATAGGAGTTGAGGGGGGTGGGACGGACGGGTCGAAGGTAGTTACTTACTTTGCTCATCGTTTGTAACAAATATACATCTGCCTATCCCTTATACTAGGCAGCAGTAGCAGCAGCAGCAGTAGCTACCTAGTATCCTTCCCGTTCTTTAGATAGAAGATGATAGCTGCCTAGACAGCAGTTACATAGACGTCTGCCTAGGCGCAGAGAGAGACCAACAACCAACAACTAAAACAAGAAAAGAACAAGATGGAGGGGAAAGGAAGAGAAATCTACCTTGCAGAAAGCCTAGCCTAGCGAATAACTAGACAGACATAGTCTAGTGTAGTCTAGTAGTCAGGTCTAGACAAGTTACTACCATACTAAATTCCAACTTCCCCACATAGAAAGAATCAGATTATGTAGTAGTATCTGGTTAATATGCATGGGTAATAAGCGGACGCTTATTACTTGTTTGAGTAGTAGGTGGTGGTCGGGTTTATATTGCTGACTTACTAACTTATTAACTTACTAACATATTAATTACTGTCTGATTTGTTGTTACTAACTAGGTGGGTAGTAAGTTAGTGATGTTGGCTAAGTGTTTAGTAGTTGCAGTAGTGATGATAATCAGTGGGTTTGAGAATTTTACCCCTCATTACTTAGTTACTAGTATCAGATGTTGTGTGGGATAAATTTCCCACTATGTAAGTACTTAGTAGTTGTCTAGAATGGTCTGTGGTTTGTTGGGGGATGACGATTTTATATGTATGAATTATATAATTTATCAGGTACGGAGATCTATATATTCGAATAGTATTAAAGAAAACGGAGAGATAAGTCTGAATAGTGCTAATAGTATACGGTCGATTGGCCGGGAAAATATTGACGGAACATCCATACATAATACTGTAGAATGATTGACGACATGTGGCTGAGCTGGTCGGATGTTGACTGAATTGACAGAAGTCAGTACGAAGGTCCTCTTTCTTTTTTTTCTTTGAGAGTATTAGTATTTGTGTATATATGTATATATGTATGAGGGTTGTTGCTCAATCATTGGTACTTATTAGTATGATGAACTGAATGAATGATCATTGTAGTGGCCGTATCGTAGCGTAGGTTTTACATAGAAGATAAGAATAATCTGCGTGTATATGTGATAGTATAGAGTATAGTTGAAAACATTTATTTCAATTACTACTCCGTAGTGATCCACCATTGCGAGAGCTATGTCAAGTCGCTAGCAGCCTCATTATCTGCATATTCTACAGTGTAATGACCATTGTAAAGTCAGTAAGTCCACTATCATCAAATCCACATCAATGGTCTGATTATGTGCATATGGTTATGCAATGGAAAATAGGTACTATTTAGGCAAGTAGTCGATAGCTAGTAAACAATAAGATCGCCGATTAATACAGTAGGTTGGCTGTACGAGATACGTTGTTAATTCGCAGAATGATCGGTCGCGTGGATGGATAAGTAATAAAAGTGATCGACTTAGTACAGGTAAATGACTCGATGACTAGAAGTGCTGTGTGGATGGATGGAGGGATGTGCCTGACATTCTTGACTTTGCTAAGATGCGTAGTGACTAGTATAGACTCTGCAGTCTAAACGGTGATGGAGGATGTGATTCGTGCTAATGGGGTAACTACTAAATGGTGCGGTGGGTTGGGTGATACCGTTGGGAGGGGTTGCGATGTGATAGATGGTCTACAGGGGTCATACTTAGGTTGACCAACTTTAGTGGTGAGGTAGCCAAGGATACACATATGAGATGGGGCTGAGTGCTGCTCTGGACCTACCGCTGCATATCTAGTCGCTGTCTAGGTATGTACCTACTGCTAGGGTCAACTGTGGGGGAGGGAAAGGTAATTGGACGGGATGGAGATGATGTGTATGTGGGTTGTGGTGGTCTGTGTAGGTGAGATCGCGGTGACGGACGGTTATGATGATTGTCGCGATGGTGTCAGACGGGGCTGAAGGCTGTGTGGCAGAAAAAAGAGGGGAATCGGCAGAGCTGCCTTAGCTCAAACTGCCTAGTACGTACCACCTCATGGCAAAGCAGGGTAACCAGCCCGCGTCCGGAATGATGCTACTGCTGCTGCTGCACCGTCTCCTCATGGCAGGCAAGGTACATGGGCACGCTGAGGGGAGGGATTCACGCACCATTGCCCATGTAGTGCTCCGCGGATGACCAAAGATTGGCCAGCAGCCTGGGCTGAAATGAGCCATCATCCCTCCCCAGTGGTCTCGACCAGCCTTGTGCAACCCTAGCCACGCCAGGCCGTGAGCAAGGGAGGCTGCCGGACTAGTTCGAACGGAAGTCCGGCCAATAATGGGCGGTAGTCTGGTCGATCAGCGTGACAGAGGCAATTCTCGGTTGAGATTAGGTTCCTTTGGTCACCCTGGGTATGAGTGGTGATATGGGACACAGTAATCCTTATGGAAGGAGGACTGGACCGATACTCCGCACTTGCACCCCGTCCATATCACAGAGCTGGTATATGCCCACGCATAAATAACTGTGATATAACCACGCTATAGACTTAATAATGGGGGCGAAATGCACCGTTATTGATTATGTACGTATGGGCGATGCAACTGCGTGGCTCTGAACCGAATCCTGGTGCGATCCTGGCTCATCTCCATCGCCTGTCGACTGGGGAACTAAGACGAATCGGGGCCACGTCTCTTGCACACTAATGCATGAAATGACCGTCTTGAGCTGGCGCAGGACCAAAGTGGAATCGGCGGCGGGGTTAGCCGGGAAGAGAGGCTGCCTGTTTTGCCGGTCGTAAGGTGTTCGTCTGGGATTATTGAATGTTTTGGGCAGAAGATAGATTAATGTAATGCGCCCCGGAGAAAGATGTCATTGATGGGCTTCCGTAATCTGGACGGGATATTCCGCGCCCCAAAGTATGTTGCTGATGCTGCTGATGATGATCCGGTCCAAGCCAAGCCACGCTTGGGCTAACCGGACACTAAGGGGACCGAATAGCGACCTCCAGTCGCTAAACACATACACATGTAGACATCCTAGCAAGCTATTTCGTAAGCTCCGTAGACAGGAGAAACACACTGTTCAGAGTTGACCTAACGGCCAGCCTCGTACTTCGTCGGCTGGGGTTCGCCCAATGGTCGGGGATGGGCATCATTGGCCCATGCACCGACGATGCAATCAACCGAACAGATCCCTGTCACGCCGGTTCAATCATCGCGCCGCACCCAGTCAGCATCCGGGGCAGACCGGGTCTGTCTCTCGCGTGTGTGCGCGTGGGAAATCAAATCGGCTGCCCCTTCGCATGGCAGCGTGAGCAGATGGATGGTGATCCGAGCCATTTTCGATCAGGTCGCACAGCATAGAAGATCCGATTGCGGGATGGTGGGAAAAGGGAACAACAGGCTATCCTTCGCCATATCACCCAGTCAGCAATCAGCATCATAATTCACGATTTGCCCATTGAAACAGCTGAAGGGAAACCCCCCTGGAAGCTGGTCAGGTGGGGCCACGACAAGGAAAAAAGCCTTGGGTTTAGTTTTCGCGTGGAGAGCAAGGATCAGCGTCTGCCACAGAAAAGCATCAAATAGGAACCAGTGTAGTTATCATGCATGCTGGTAACCCCTTGCTTCTGCAGCGGCAGAAAGGAAGGCGTGGTTGAGGCCAAGGCAGAAGACATAGTACATACTTATGCCGATGGTGGGCCAAACTGCGTTTTGAGGCAGGACAGGCAGGGGTATGTATAGTGTGCCTATTTCATATCGGGCGTATCTCAATTCTTCAGCAGAAGAAGCGCTGAGGTAGTCCTGCATGGGAATGGAGACACCATGAGCGACGATGATGATGGCCATGGTGATGAGGAGCAGCAGCAAGACGAGATAGAACAACCAGCCAGCCAATCGCAGCGCAGGCTGACAGCAGTAGCAGCGCATTAGGTTGGCCCGAAGGAAGATGGCCTGAAGTTGGCCTGAAGCAGGGCCCCCCGCTCCGGCTCCGACTCCGGCTCTTTCCGCCTCCGACTCCGACATCCTTTTGGGGCCTTTTTCTCGCCTTATTTTCAGTTTTCGGTAAGTGGCTTGGCCGCTTTAGGCGGTAAGTAATTGTCTGTACGAGACTAGTCCATACCGTTTCCCTCTCATACGCAATGTAACGCTCAAGGTTCGATTGGCCGCCTCCCGGAAGATCCTCCACGTGCGTCTCGTCTCCTGGAACTGACCGACTCAGGCAGAGAGCCTGTTGACCCTCGGAGAGTTTTGCTTCTGACTAATCGATTTTCGCGCGACGATATCGGCCGCCATGGCCCCAATTCACGCCCTTTAGTAGCTGGACGCCGGAGTCGGACAATTTCCCCGGGACCCTGCTTTGGAAAAGAATAGAATAGTCTGAAGACAATTTAGCAAAGTTCCAAGACAAGACAAAACTAGACAGAAAGTGACATGTATGCGGTTTAACTTATCTCCGCCCCCTTCCTCACTTAAGCGGTAAACCTTGAGCCCGGCCGCCCCCAGCGCCCAGCTTACCCAATCCGTATTCCCGTAAATCCTTAGCCCGTCACCCCCATCATATCCGGGGGCCTGTGGATTCATCATACAAATACGGTGAATCAACCATGCGCCCCCCAAGACAAATGCCGGAAAGTCCGATGTACACCGTGTGATCCGTCGCTAACTTACCTCAGATAGGTACGAATCCCTAGCCTCACCCAACAACTTACACAAGAGAAAAAGAAAAAAAGGACAGGGAAAAGTCTTACACATGGAAAGAGTGGGGGTGACCAGCAACCCCCAACCGACCGACTCCTTCTAGCGTTTTCCAGAAGTCTTCCAGAATCCTTCTAGCGCATCCATCGGCGTCCCACCAGCCCCGAAACAAAGAACCACCAAGCAATAGCGCCCCAGGAGTAGATTAACTCAATTAACTCAACCGTGGATACAGCCTCACTAGTTTCTCTTTTCTCCAACGGGGAACACCGTATGATTTTCTTGTGATCTCATATTCCTTCTACGGTTTCCATTGATCGGCAGATCGGAGGACCAACAGTCGGAAAAATTGGACTGCCTGCGAACCACATACGCTTCCCGTCCTGGAGGGAGGATATACTTGCTTGGGAAGGAACACGTTGTTGACGGATGGGTCTTTGAGTTTTTGCGGACTTGTAGATCCCCAGCCGATCGAAAATTGCGACGTAGGGGCGAAAGCATCTCAACTACTCAGGTAGGTAATATGGTGCGATTGGAGGTAAAAGGGGAAAATTGTCGAAAAAAAAGTAAAATAAAATCAGGAAAAAAAAAAGCTTGGTGAACTGAATGGACATCGGCGTCGTCCGATCCTGGTAAACTGTAGTAGTATACAAGACTAGTGACCGCTCTAGAAGCTTCAGCTGGGCTTCTTTCGCCACCGAACTACTGCACGATGCAGGAACAGTGCGTACATGCTACGTAAGTTAATAACATCTCCCGCCATGATGGTAAGTTGGATTAGACATGCAATCCTGCTGGATTTTAGCCCTTCCAACAACTTCCTTCTAGAAAAACCCCCAAGTGCTTACTATCGTTCCAGATATCTGGCGCAGCCGATACTAACAGCACAGTAGTACAATGTAGCGTGTCTCCCTGTGCCCAACAGGATTCACATCCCATCCCATTCCATTGCCCCAGATAAACTATCCTCCTAAAATAGTTCATCCCATACCCCCCTTCCCCTGGAGAAATGATTCTAGAAGGATCATAAATGCCGGAAGCCGAAAGGATGCCTTCCCAACCACACTTTCAGCTCTAGCAGCTGAAACAAACAGGTCTTTCTCAGCCGACACTCCCGTAATCCAATAGACATCAAACTTACGAAGTACCCTGATGTTGGTTCAGGGGGTCCGTCGCCAATTGCTACTATTTTCAACTATCAGCCACAAACCAAGGTCGAGAAATTCCAGGGGCTTCCAGCCATCAAGATACAGTTCATCAAGGTGTCCAGGCTAGACTATCACTGTACTAGATACTCCGTAGAATTAAGACATGCTCATATCAAGCAAACTCTAAGTGCGAACTTTAAAACCCGCGGCAGCGGAATATCCCGCCCCCTACATATTGCCCAGACACTATCTTGAACTTACACTAAGGAAAGTTAACGCAGTCTCCTAAGCGGTGCACAAACACACACACTAGATAGTACTACTACTAACGGGCTAATGGGCAGATAGATATTAGATAGATTGTGTGAGTAGATAGACAAACACACCAGAGTCCAACCCTAACCTCCAAACCCGAAAACCCACCAACAGAAGAATGGTAAAACCGCATATGAGGGAAAATTTTTCCATGCCCCATAATGACGACACTTGCGCCCTTCCATACTTAGTTACATGGTACCTACTGTAACTAAATATTCGTCATATGACCTCTCCGCTCGTCTCGTAAGAGTGGAAACCAAAAGAGAAAACAAAAAAAGAAAAAAAAAAAATTATAATTCTGGAAGCATGAAAAAGTATGGATGTGTATCACCACAAAAAACCCACGTGGCGTACACACCCGCGCCCGAGAATACTCCAGAACAAAACCGTGTACGGAGTACCGACCATTTACTCTTTTCTTCCATGTGGGATGGATACCTACTACTACCTACCCACCAGCAAGTGGACAAAAAAAAAAGAGAGGGTTTATTCTTCCGTTGGTTCCAAATTCTTGAAATCCGAAACATACAAAAATACAACAAATCAACTGATTCAGCGAAATAAATACACTGTAATATAACCCCCACCTTTTTTTCCCTCTGTCCTCAACCCGCTGCCAAGACTTTACTTACTCCACCGCGCTGGAACCGCGTGAACTCTCTGACCGCTTTTCTCTTTTCTCTCTCTGGTTTTTGTGTTTCCGGGTTGTTTCGGTATTGGGAATTTTCTATGTATGGATCAGGGTGTGAGGGAGGGGTCGTACCTTGGTTCGGGTGATTTCAGGATGGAGAACTAGGTAATGGTGTAGAGGTTTCAGCCGAGGTATGGGTGTGAATGTTCGGGAATGACGTATGAGTCACATTCTGGAACATTTTCCTTGTTCGTTCGTGTAGATGGGGTTTGGTGGCTGATAAGGGTATGGATTTGGTTTTGGTTGAGGTATGTGTTTTGTTACTTGTGTTATGTTTCGTTATATTGAGTAAGGTAACAGAGAGAGAGAGAGAAAGAAAGAGAGGACTTGTTTGTTATGTAATTGTAGATCCATAGACCGGTTAGGATAGTAGTAGACCGGGTATCTGGTTCTCCGGTCAACTAAATAATCGAAGTAACAGTATGTAGTTAAGTAGCTTAGTGATGGGGCGTGATAGAGTAGCAACTCAGTTGTCTATTAACATACTGTATATAGTAGTGATAGCTGCTGCTATGGAGTATCTAAACTACAACCTATATTAAAGATAGCTATCGCTCCACTAGTCTGCAGGTCACTCTATTAGGTAGGAGGGTAGGTGCTTTGCAGACTTTACGTACTAGCTACGGTTAGATAGATCCATATTAACTCACTAACTATACTCCGTAGCTAGTTAGTAGCTGCTACCTATTCTGCATTAGAATGGATGAAGATGGATCAAAAAGAAAGCGGACTGAGCACAAGCCTGCTGATTTAGGCTGAATAGGAATAGATTTAGTGGCGAATCAGCTGATATGGAAATGATGGAGGCGTTGCTCGTATTTGTCTGAGTATTGTGTGGCTGTTGATATCTTGGTAGATAGATAGGATAGAAGTCTAGAGCTAGGCAGGTAGGTTTGATCGTCCAACTGCCGTGTGTTGATGTCGGCTATTATCGGGGTATTGCCTGTATAGATCCTAGCGTAGTTACTTCCATCCAAGGCTTCCAAGTATACTTGGATGAATGTTTTGTGCCAAGAGAGATATACGAATACCGACTGGTATGTTTCAGCTGTCAAGTCAATATTGCGCCAAGGGTTTGTGGCAGATTGCTGAAGAAATGCCAGTAGGAAATAGAATTTAAAATCCGACCGCGTTAGGCAGGTTGCCTGATTTGTTTGCTTGGCTGGGCCGATTGGAAAATAACCCATCTACAGTAAATACATGGCAAGGTTAGAGACGGATATAATGAATGACCCAAAGTTAATTTCGAATAGCACGGACGATGGTTTACTCACCAACCACCCCTTAGATCATACTGAAATTATGATAGACACATACCCTGAACCTAGACAGGTCCATAACGACGCCATGCCAAAAGGTTGAAAAGTATAATTTGAAAAGGATAAGAAAAAGAAAGTTGATATGTGGCTGAATGAGGCGCACCGATAGCTGAGGTTCTAGCCCTTAGGATTGTCTGACTCGGTCGCAAGCCACATGCCAAATGCGACTGACTCTTCTGGAATATTTCGCCTCACTAATGTTGGTCGATTATAGCGAAAGGACGCATGGACGGGAAGCCAAGGATGGATGGCGTGGTAGATAGTACGATTGGCGCCGTGCAGGAGGCTACAACATCGGCAAATATAGGTGTGCTAAGTTGGTACTTTTCTTTGTAGGCAGGAGGAATGTCACCAAGAATATCGCCAGTAGAGTAAGTAAAGGACCCCCCCAGCAGTAGCCTAGACGCAGCCTTGTCTTGCGTTCCGACGGGATGATCCCTGACCGCCACGCGAGGAGTAACGCGGCTGACAGGGATCATCCATCTGCGTGAACTGGATAGTGAGTTTCGCATGTCGCGGCTAGTAGCGCAGTTGCTAAGGACTGTTGTTCTTGTTGGGGCCGTGTGGATTGGTTCGGTTTGTCTCCTGGGTGATAGAGAGAGGGGGAGAGAGGCTCCAGAAGACTCCGTACATACTGTCATGCAGCAGGATTTGAAGCTATCCATCTCCTGATATGTATGGAGGTTTCCCGATTTGGCGACCCGGCCCCCTCTGTTCTATTTTCAAGGCTTGCTGTTACTATTGAAAGGCTGACGCGGACCCTGTCACGACCCTGTAGTATGTATTTAGTGTTGCCTAGATACCTATCTTTAATTCACATAAAGCCGAACGACCAAAGCAATATTCCGTACCTGCTCTCTTGTCTGGGCACGGCACAAGTGTCTGACCGCTGCTATCTAAACTTCATTACTGATTACGTGACAGCATGACAGCGACAGACGGAGTTTCAGTTTGTTGTCTGTGACCGAGATTCTTTACCGCCAGTCCGGTCACGGCTCCAGAGCGGGCGCAAAGAAGGAAAAAAAAGAAAGGAAAAAAGGTGTGGATAGCTCCGAAACGGGGGAATTGCGCCATTGCAGCCCCTCCTTCTCATGGCTCACCGCTTCCTGTTGCCCCAATTGCTCTGGTGGAGACACACTTGCTACTGCTGCTGTTGCTGCTGATAGCTTGATAGGCAAGAAAAGCCACCAGAACAATTCCAAGAGTGGGTAATGGAATATACACAGAGATAGATTGCCTTGTCTACTGCCCGGGGGGGGATCTGATCGTAAATCCTTCATCAGAACGAAGTAGGGGTTACGTAGCCGCCATGGGAGGTCACTATGATTGGTACGGTCGACTATCTGACCGCTAGGCTGATGGCCCTGGGTTGAGGTTAGGTGCTACTAACGTTGGGCCCGGAAGATTTCGTGA